GGAATTGTTGGGTTCAAATTTAATTATGGAACCGTTCGGATTCGATTCCATTCTATTCGATTTAGTTCGGTTCGATTCTACATTAATTCGACTATGATATGTTCAATCTTAATTCTTACAAAATAACGGAGTCCAATCTCGTGATATCTTTTGCACTTTTATTTGTTGAATTTTTCATAAATTTGATTGTTAAAATCACAGGAAGACCAAAATGACGAGTTCACAATAATAGAATGGCAAAAATGATCATACGATAGAATAATACATTTGGGTAAAACTTAGATCAATTTGATTAAGTTGGGATTGGATGAAAATTAGAAATAGTAAAAATCATATTTTGGATTTGGACTAAATTAATTAGTTAGCACATCTATTTGAAAAAAATGAATAATTTGACATATTTAAGATAAAAAAAACTAAAAAAATTATGGAGATTCGGTTCTTATTCGATTTTTCGGTTATTGGTCTAGAGCAGAACCTTTATCGATTTTCGATTCAGATACCCGTTCTAGTATTTAATTTAAGAAAAACCACTCGATTCGGTTCTATTTGGGTCCGATTTGGTTCGAGAGTTTTGTTCAGCTTTAGGCTTCCTTATCTTTTGTTTTTCCGTATTTTCTTTAGTTTCTTGGTTTTTGATGTAAAATCCGGGTTTAATTTGGTGTCAATTGAGGCATTTGCAATGAATTTTTTTCATTCTGATTTCATTTCATTATTGTAAAATTAGGCACCGAAGCATTCAATTGTGAAGATCATTGTCTGCTTATTTTTTCTGATGTAAAAATGATCGTAGTGCTTGTTTATCGATAATTTATAGCCACACTAAACACATTGTGCATTAAAAAATGTTGGCAGATGATCATAGTAGGCAGTCATAGTGTTTATATTTGGGAACATGAACGGATTGGGAGGGGAGACTGGACTTGGCCGTAGCCCTATCCAGGTCTAGCCCAAATCCGAGTTGTTATTATTATTTTTTGAGGAAATTACACCAATCCATACTTTAAATATTCAACATTCTAAAATCAGATTGAAAGTTTGATATTTCAAAAATCAGATATTTTATTTTAATCAAAATTTTTATAAAATAAATATTTCAACCCTACCTCCCTCCACCTACTATCATCTACCCTCTCAAACCCTAATTATATCCCTCTTTCTTCTTTCTCTCTCTATCCCATATTTCCTTACATTTTCTCTTCTTCTCATTTCTCTCTGTTTCCCCTTCCTCCACGAATGGACTGTCGCCGCCACTGCAGTCGTCAACGACCACCTCCAAGACTGGTGTACAGTATGGAACACCACCATGTGCACTGTTCTTCTCCTGTATCTCTCTTCTCCATGTCCAGTTTCTCTCTATGGTGTTGGCACTGCACATGCGGTTGATGGTTTACGGCAGCAGTTTGGCCATGAAATGATGGGGGTTTGGTCGGATCTCATGGCGATCTACAGTAGCGGCGATCTTGTCGTGAATGATGGGATCTGCAGTAGCAACGATCTGGCGGTGAATGGTGGGGTTTTAGCTGGATTTGGTGGCGCCGTGATGGTAAGATGGGGTTGGGGGTGGTAGTGGCGTGCTACTGTAATGCTGTGGATGTGGTAGTGGTATAGTGGTTGGGTGAGTTCTGTGATACTGTGGGTGCGGTGGTGGTGTCGCGGCGGTGGTGCTGTGTTCGGTGTCATGGGTTGGTACTGTGATTCTAATTGGTCACAAAGTGTATTGTCTTTTCTCTTCTCACTCTCTCTTCTCTCTAGCAGTGGACGGTGGCGGAGGGTTTGGTGTTTGTGTTGGACTATCTGTGACCTTAAAATTCTACAATTTGTGACTAACAATTAATCTATGACCTTAAAATTTGTTAATTTGTCACTAAAAATTAATTCGTGACCTGTAATTTTTTAATCCGTGACCAATAAAATAATCTGTGACCTTTAAAATTATTGATTTGTGACCATGGAATAATCTGTGACCTCTAAAAATTTTGATCTGTGACCGATATACAAATTGTGACCTACAAAAGTTTTAGATTGTGACCTGAGTTGTGACTTGTGACATGAGTTGTGACATGGGCTGTGACTCGTGACCTGAGTCGTCGGAATCGGAGCAGTCATCGGAAATGGTCACCGAAATCTGAGCAGTCGCCGGAATAGTCACCGAAGCGGTCGCTGGAATCGGAGTAGTTGTCGGAACGGTCATTGGAAGTTCGCTGGAGTAGGGCGGTGATCGGAACGGTCGCCGGAGCGGTAGGGTGGTGAAGGTGGGATATGTTAATTATATTATATTAGAATTAAATATTTAATAATAAATTAATTTATTTCATAAATAAAAATTTAAAATTTTTTAATAAAAATCTGATTTTGGAAATTTCAAACTTGTTTTCTTATTTTTGAAATAAGCTAAACTTATTCTTTTGAAAATGAAATTTTCCCTTATTTTTTTGTACAAGCCCACTTAGAAAATTCAGCCCATTCCAACTGAATCCATCATTTTTTTTAAAACCCAATTGCTGGACATTGAATTGAAAGTCCAATCCAATTTATTTATAACCCAACCCAACCCAAATATCATCATATCAAATTCTGAACCTGTCATTGGAATCTTCATTTCTTCAAAGATTAGCCATAAGAATTGAATTGAAATTGCAATTCCAATATACCTCAAATCTTCTCTCGTCAACTCTCTGCTACAAGTTGGTATTTTTTTCTTGCTGGTTTAGTAATTTATATTTAGTATTTTCTCTCGTCGAATCTATCCCTAATTTTTTCTTCCTAGTTTTTTCATTGGGTGAAAGAAATCTATTAGGATGGTTTTTTTTTCCCCTCAATTTTCGAGTTTTCAAATGGCTGGCACTCCAGTTTGACAATTTCCATCATGAAAGGGCTGAATTTTGTTTAAATGGTGAGTGGTGACACTTAAAGTATTATTATTTGTTAAAGGGCTGGATTTTCTTTTCATTTAATAATATAAATGTTATTTTTTGGGTATATAAATATTTTATTTGGTGATATACTGTTATTCATCTTATTTGATTTGAAAGTTGAAACAATGGAAAAAGGTATATAAATATTTTATTTGGTGTTATTTGATTTGAAACAATGGAAATTGAATGATTTTGACTTGGTTTCTACTATTTATAATGTAGGTGAAATGATTTTGAAATTTGAATCACTGTGTAGAGTTGCCCTTTTTTTAATAGTAATATTCCAATTTTCAAATTACTTGTCTCATTTTTTTTTCTTTCTATTATTTTTCAACCTTTACAAATAGAAGCTCAACCTTCATCAAAGAGAGCAAAGATGATATTTTCATTCTTTAAAAAGACTGGGCAATCCGACAATCCTATGTGATCAAATCTATTTTAATTGTAACTGTCTGTGACCATATTTATGTTTAGATTTGACTGTATGCGACTTAGTTATATACAATTACAAATTAGATTGATATGGACACAGACAGTTACAATGAACAAAAATTTGATCACAATTAATCACACATAACACAGGCTAGTAAAGGTAGTATTTATGGTTGTGAATTTGAGTTGAACGTGATAATGATAGTGCATTGGAGGTGATGATGGTGGTGATTGGTGTTGGCTTTTGGTATTGATCTGCGGTGTGTGCAGATTTATTTGTGGTGATCCTATGTGATCAAGTATATGTCTATTGTGACTAGTTGTGATAAATTCTCTATTAATTGTAATCAGTTATGATTTGGTCACATATCGTCATAATTAAGATTGACCGGTCACAACAATCATACTAAAGACAAATTTGATCACATATAGCACATGTTAGTGACTTAGTTATGTACAGTAAAAATTTACACATGCAAATAATCATGCTGAAGACAGACTAGACAGTTAGTAATATATAACACATATATAATCACAAACAATAAATTTGGTCACAAAAAATCACAATTAGTCCATAGTGGGGTATAATCTGCAGAAAACGTTTTCAAATTTTGGGAAATTTTCTAGGGGTGGGATGGGGTGGGGTGGGGTGGGGTGGGTTGGGCTCGTTGTGGGTGGTTCCATGGGGTCAGTTGTAATCTCCTGATTTTTTTTTTTCAATTTCTAAAAACTTTATGGGTGGGGTGTAATATCTAGGAGAGGTTTTCAATTTCTGGAAAATTTCTCGGGATGTAGTGGGGTGGGGCTGGGTGGGGCGGGGTGGCGTGGGGGCTTTGTGGTGTGGGGGATATAATGTATGTCAATTGTGTGTGTATGTGTATCACATCAAGTGAGAATCATATTTTAGACGATTTTAATACTACTATAATTTAATTATTCTAATAATACGTTACTTTTTTTAAATATGTAATAAATACTACAAAATCCTTATCATGTATAAATTTTGTGTTATTAATTCTCATTTAATTAATATTCAAATTAATCTAAACTCAATGAATTTTGATCTACATGAATCTAGAGTTAATATAGATGAATTTATTTCTATTCATATATTTAGAAATTTTAATCGGTGTTTAAATTAATTTATTAGCAATTAATTCTTATGTACAAATGTAGTATAAAAATGTTGCTCAATTGTTGTATTTCATCATCAAAAAAAATTTGAATCATAATTTATTTATTTTTTAGAATATAATTTTATTCTCTTAAATTTACATCCTAAATTTTATTTTCATTAGTTCTTTTGAGACTAATCAAATCCTCATAATATAACAAATTTTGAAATAATTTAACAAATTTGTTGATTTTGAAATGTGATAGTTATAATATAGAAGTTGCGTATTATTCACTTACTAAATTCCATACATTACAAGCATTGAATGTTACCCATAACCCTCAACCTTAATTTCAGGGGCGACAAATTATATATGTTCTAAATACTATTTACCCCATGAATTTATTTCCCTGTTTACAATTATTTTAAGTTACATAAGTTACAATTTTATGTTGCAACTCATCACTCACGGGTAACTTTAGCACAAGGGTAATTCTTAATTGTCCCTTATTATTTATACTTCCAATTTTATTTTTAGGAAAATTTCATAATTAAGAGATTAAATTTCACCCATTTCAAATTTAAGAGATAAAGTTTAAAATTTCAAATTTCAGATTTTTAAGGTTTAAAATTCAAATCTCAGATTTTTTTAAATTTTATTTATAAATAAATAAATGAAATATATTAAGGTTACAATTCTATATAATTTGATCACAAATTCTATATAATTGGTTACATATTATTAATTTGTTACAAATCACAAATTTTATATGTCACAATTTATTTTAAGGACACAATTCAAAAATTTTATAGGTCACAATTTTTTCATCGGTCACAAATAAAAAATTGAAGCGTCACAAATTATTTTACGGTCACAATTCAAAAATTTTATATTTCAGAATTTGTTCATCGGTCCCAAATCAGAAATTTTATAAGTCACAAATCAGAAATTTTATAAGTAACAAATTATTTTACGGTCACAATTCAGAAATTTTACAAGTCACAATTTGTTCAAATATTTTATATGTCACAATTTGTTCATCGGTTACAAATCAGAAATTTTATAAGTCACAAATTATTTTACGGTCACAATTCAGAAATTTTATAAGTCACTATTTGCTCATTGGTCACAAATAAAAAAATTTATATATCACAACTTATTCATCGGTCACAAATCACAAATATTATAAGTCACGACTTAGTAGACAATCACAAATTGTCAAATTATCGGTCACAAATTAACAATTTTTTAGATCACATATTATTTTTTTGTCACAATTTATCTTTTTCATTGGTCACATATTATTTATTGATCACAAATTAATCAATTTAATGGTCACAAACGACCAAATAATCTGTGACCACCACCAACCCCCAACTTGTGACTACCACATCACCACTCCCTTCAGCAGTACCAGTGTCACTGTCGCCGCCAGTACCACCATCACCACCACCTCCCGACAGTAACACCACCTCAAACAAATTAACACATTGCAGAAAACACCATCACATCCTCGCATCGATCTACCACAACCTCGACAGGCCCATCTCCACTAACATCTCAACATCAACACCACCACCACCACCACCACCACCAAGATCCACTACACACAACCACAGAACAACCACTATATCAACTCACATATCTACTTCACTTCTTGCAAATCTCACAGACCACCACCACCACACGAACTTTCCCGACACTGCCAAATCGCACCTCCAATCAGCCTCCAATCCCACCACAGATCCACCACCACGTTCAAAAATTACCACTACCATCCTCCGCGCCTCAAACAAATCAACACCACTGCCAACATCGCCACCCGAACCACTACTACCATCTCAAACAAATCTGCACATGGCAGAACATCACGCCAGATCCACCACTATCACCACCTCACATCCACAGTACAGCCACCAAATTGGGACGTAGAGCACGACACACTATCACTACAGCCAAATCCATCACCACCAACTCTAGATCCACGATCTGCAGCGCCCGATCCACCACCGCCACTAAAACTACCTAAACATCACCACACCATGGAAACCATCACCAACAACAAACAAAAATAACCAAATCTGGCGTGGCCACCATCCTTCACACCCAAAATATCTCAAAACCACGACAGCACAACGTCGCTGCGAGCGCGGTGGCATAACCCCTTCGATATCTCAGGAGGCTGTGCCATCTGTGGGTGTGCTATATCGCGACGTTGGTGAAAGGTTGGGCTATCGGCATAGAAGGAGGAGAAGGCTGCGTCGTCTGTGGAGCTGGTATCTCGCGAGGCTGCGCCATCTGTGGAGGTGCTATATCGCGGTGATGGTGCGAAGCTGGGCTGCCGGCGGAGATGGCGGAGCCAATGATGATTGGTAGAGAGAGTGAGAAGAGATTACAGTGAAAAGAAAGGAGGATATGAAGAAGAATATTGAAAATGGTTGCTAGGGTTTGGGGGAAATTAATTAGGATTTGGATGAAATTTGTATAATTAATATTTAATTAAACATGAAATATCTTCTTTTTGAAAAATGAAACTTGTGATCTGATTTTTGAATATGGATCTTGAAAAGTAGGGTTTTGTATAATTTCCACATAACAAAAATTGAATAAATGAGCAAAATTAATTAGGATTAGGATGAAAATTGTATAATTAATATTTAATTAAACATGAAATATCTAATTTTTGAAACATGAAACTTGTGATCTGATTTTTGAATATGAATCTTGAAAAGTAGGATTTTGTGTAATTTCCACTTTATTTTTTTTCCTTTTTTTTTTGCCAGTTCATGTTAGTTAGGTTATTGTTTGGTGCAATATTTGGCTTACCTCAGACTGGTCCATCAAAAAAATTAAAGTAAAAAGTAAAAAGTCCCACCAAGATGTCGATGGATTTAAATTCCAGAGTGCTAACGACTTTTCTATGGAACCAATTGCAAGCTTCAACATACATTGCAAACATTAATTCTAAGAGGTCGATAACGCAACCTTAAGTTTGTTGGGGCGGTAGCATATGTAAATGGTTGTTCAAGATAAGAAAATATTCAAGTTTAATTCGCAGGAGCGTAATTAAACTTTAAAGAAAGAAAGTAAGATGAAGAAAATAAAAGGGAAAACGAAATTTGAGGCAAGTGAAAACACTTTCTCCTTAAGATAATATTGTCTCGCAACAATGCTAACGGACTAGGCACTTGTCTCCCAAGATACAACGGATACAAATTGTGGTAGAAGCACTTCAAACCACAAGTAACAACGAACTTAGAACGAAATTTTCTCTCTAAACGAAAAATGATTTTAAGGTGTGTTTGATGGATATTATTTTGGAAGAATGTATTTTGGAATAGTAGATTGATGGAAAGTAGATTGATGGAGAATGTGTGGTTGAAAAAGAAGGAAAAGTTATTGATNCGAAAAAGAATGAAAAATTATTAATGTGATGGAAAATATTATTTTATTGAAAAATGTGTGGTTGAAAATGAGTAGAAGAATGAGAATGAAAATTTTAATGTGTGCCAAACAGGGGCTTAGAATGACTTTTGGAGAGTATTTTGCAAGAATTTTTGATGTAATGTCAATGCAAATGATATGGAATGCACAATGGGCGTCCAACGGATCCTTTATATAAAAGAGGAAAGGTTGTAAGTGAAATATCGCGCCCTAAACTTAGTAACATTGCAAAAGGTTGTAGCATTTGTTGTCGCTAGCCTATCGCTGACCCCTCGTTTACAGTGATACCATTTCATCAGAGCTTCTCTCACTAATCTGTTGCTCGAGCGACGGTCTCATTGATCGACCATTATTGCATGCATGAGTGTCAAAATTGTCAAAATTGTCATGACGTTGACCATTTATCCATATTCTTTCTATATAAAGTGGTCCATATTCTTTCTATATAGAAATTTGTAAATGGTCAACGTCATGACAATTTACAAATTTGTACGGCAACATGTTTAAAGAAAATCCACTAGAAAGAACCCAAAAATGCCCTACGTTTATAATACAATTACAACATAATTACAACATTTATAATACAACTTTGACACTCATGCATGCAATAATGTAAACAGAAATTTGTAAAAGTGGTCTCATATTCTCTCTATATAAACAGGTACCGTAATCGTTCGTTATTGTCCATCAGAATTCAGATAGCTAATAATATATTTTTTTTAAGTGTCAAATTTTGGTGAAGAAAGATGGCAGGTTTCTCTGGAGGCTGGGTTCTTGCATTTGGTCTACTTGGTAGAACCTAACCTTAATCACTTTTTACATATTCTATGTAAAGAAAGTACTAAATAATTGTGTTTCATATATAATTTTTTTTTTCTTGTGTTTGTTGGTCAAAAGAAAGTATCACTATTTTAATTTGTGTACTAGGAAACGGACTATTAAATTTATTGTGGATGGATTTGGCAATCATTAACATGCATGCTTGATATCAAAACCAACTACGTCTACATGCAACTTCACATAATCCTTACTTTGAAACTTGTTCAATAATTGATGGATTTTATTTATTGTATTGGCTAGCAACTTCTTATACTATATAATAAACATGCTCCATGTACTCTTTTTTGCATTTTTATTAATAAAATGTGTCACTATATATAGCTCATGCACTTTAAATCTTAATGATAAAATTGGATAATTTCTTTAAAATGGATATTACTTCTATGCATTATAATAATGTTTTTCGGTATTTTTGTAGGTAATATCATGGTCTATCTTTCTCCATTGTAAGTTTCATTATTTTACTTAAGTTAAAATGTGTTCGATTTTTTAAAAATTATTCAATTTTAATTATTAACTATACTCTCTTGTTATTAATTATTGAGTGTAGGCCAACTTTCTATCAAATTTACAAGAAAAAATCAAGTGAAGGATTCCAATCAGTTCCTTATGTGATTGCTCTATTCAGTTCCATGCTATGGATTTACTATGCATTTCTCAAGTCTGATAATACCACACTTCTTATTACCATAAATTCTGTCGGATGTTTCATTCAAACTGCATACATTTCCTTCTACCTCTTCTATGCACCAAAGAAGGTATTATTGAACCATCTCTCTAAACTCTAAAAGTTTAAACACAAGATGAGTGTTGTTTTCTCCTCTATATTAAAATATTGAAGTTAAATTTATATGACAAATGATGATGAGTTGAGTTCTCGGACTTTTTTGAAATGCAGGTACAAACTATAAAGTTAATTTTCGTGCTGATAGTTTGTGGGTTTGGTCTCATCGTTCTCACGAATCAACTTGTGGTTAAAGCTTCGAAACGTACCAACGTTGGATGGATTTGTCTAGTAGTTTCATTGTGTGTATTTATTGCCCCTCTAGGCATTGTGGTAAGCTTAAAAAAAAGTAGAAAATAAAAAAAATTTCAGCATCAAGTTTTTTTCGTTGTTCCATTTTTATATATTTTCTTTGCAGAGACAAGTTATACAAACAAAGAGCGTCGAATATATGCCATTTCTTCCATCATTTTTTCTCACAATTGGCGCTGTTATGAAGTTCTTCTATGGTCTACTACTCAATGATTTTATCATTGCTGTAAGTTCATACCCTNACTTTCATTTTTGCTTCTCTTCCTTCTTTTTTTTTTTTTTTTCCTATCAAAGCCAATGTCTCGACGGGTTCAGCATTTCCTATACCTATTAATGCATGTCGACATCTTCGCTAACTTTTGCTAATAGTATTTATTTTACTGTCATACAGATTCCAAATGTTCTAGGCTTCAGCGTCGGGGTTCTTCAAATGGTGCTTTATGTAATATACAAAGATGCAGACAAGGGTGAAAAGAAAAAGCTTCCTGAAATAGCAAATAAAATTATAATTTTGGAAGAACAAAAAACTCAAGAATTAACTGGGCAAATTGTTGACATTGTAAATATCAGTGCACTGTTAAATTCAGAGAAAACCTCAGTTGTTTCACAGCCAAATAATGATGGAATTGAAGACACACATGTACATCAGAATTTGCCCAATGAAATTGAAGTTAAAATGTAAATTGAAGCTCATGGTCCTTTCTATTTTTATTTTTATTTTGTTTCGTTTCTTGTTCTGTATATTAATCTGAATAATTTGTGCTGGGTTGTTTTCTTTTCTTGCTAAATTATGTATTTATAAATGAGAAAAACTTTTATAAATGAATACTAAGAATAAGCTCTTGTTATTTAATTTGTACAATATATCATGGCCTATCATTGTATAGAGATTTTTGTTGGAATTTGGTTTAGAGAATTAAAAATAAAATAAGTATGGAAAGTGACTTTTGTGTTAACTTCCAGTGGCAGACCCAACATTGAAACTCAATTCGAACGGACGTTAGCGATCGTAAGAGCGAGATCGTTTATTAATATTTAATTAAATAATATTAAAAATTACTCAATATAAATGTAAACGCACTAAAACGTAAATATATATATATATATATATATGAAAACGTAGATCAATATAACCAAAAGTACTAAAAAAATACGCAATACAACATACTTTGTAACTGTGATATTAGACAACTGCATTCTACGAGATCTTCTCATGCTTTGAAAACATTGTAATATTGCTTCATTCTCAATCTTTTCAAAAATCTCTTTGAAAAAAAAGGGGACTAGATGCACAACTAGACAAAGAAGAACCAGGTATAGACTTTCATTTCGATTGAAAAAAATCGCTCCATAATCTGTAAAATGTCCCAATTTATTTTTCAATTAAAATTGATTAAAAAATAGTCTACACATAGTTTAATTGAGCCAAACATCTTCTTCATTAAT